TTCCCAGTGTATTTCTCCCAATCACATCTTCTAAAAATAGACAATATTCTGCGACTGAGATAGGCACCTAACATAGGTGGCTTAGTCATAGGTCCCCAACTCCCAACATTATGATTGGCTCAGGGGTGAGCACAGGACTCAGACAACACCAATCAGATGATTTCTTAGGATGGTATAAACTATGACTGGGAGACAGGTGTTCTCACTCTGTCTGCCTTCAACTGTTATGACTGCTCAGAATAGCTAGAGACCACCTTCCCACTGCATGGAGAAAGCCCATCTCAAGTCTAAAAGGTTCTATGAGGCACCAACTGAGATATTCCTGAGGTCTTACAAATGACCTTACAATCCCACCCTGAATTTTATCTTTTTCAGAAGCCATTTCTTAGTTTGAAAATGTTCTGCCATCTAGAAAAGATAAAAATAAGAAGCTATTTTATTTTTAAAACCAGTAAATATTGATTCTATTAGATGTCCTCTAAATCTTATTTGAAAGCTGAAATGCTACTAATGCTACTTTTCAACTTATCTGCCCCCTCTCATAATTGAGTAGAAGTCAGATGGCACATGAACATTCAGTCTGGAAATATCCTTAGCAGGATTATTGAGTTTACTACTTAGACAACAAGTGTGGCCAACCTTACCACTGTCTCATTATAACTGCCCCTTTTTCTCCAGTTTCCAATAATGCTTTCTTCTATTTTCTATAAACTCTCACTAACAGTCTTCTAGTGAACTTTAAGATGCCTGTGTAGGCCAGGCTGGGTAGCTCAGCCTGTAATCACAACAATTTGGGTGGTTGAGGCTAGTGGATTGCCTGAGTCTGTGGGTTCGAGACCCACCTGGGCAACTTGGTGAGACCTTGTCTCTACAACAAATAAAAAATTAGCTGGGTGTGGTAGCACGTAACTGTAGTTCTGGCTACTTGGAATGCTGAGGCAGAAGAATCATGGAGGCGTCCAGAAGATTACAGCTGTGGTGGCCGGGAGTGTGCCACTACACTCCAGTCTGAGTGACGGAGTGAGACTCCAACTCAAAAAAAAAAAATAGAGGCCTGCATATAAGCTGCTTGAAGGATTGTAGGTTTTCACTCACACTGTCCCCCAGGTCTTTCTGGCCTCTGCCTTCTATCCAGTCCCAAAGACAACGCCACCTATTCTTGATTTTGTTATGCCAGCTTCTCACTTCCAGATTTCAAAAATTGTGTGTTACATATTGCTATGTAACATACAAACACAAAACCAAGTAGATTTAAATGACAATCATTTATTTAGGTTACAAATCTACAGCTTTTGCAGGGCTCAGAAGAGGTTTGTGTCCACTCCATACAACAGCAGCTGGGGTGCCGTGGCTTGGCTCGAGAATTTACTTCCAAGAAGCTCATTCATGTGGCTGGAAAATTGGAAATTATTGCTGGTTGGGGCTTAGTAGGGCTGTGGGCTGGGGCCTCAGTTCCTCCAAGTGTATCTCTCCAGAGGCTGGTTTCAAGCACAAATATCCCAAGTAAGAGCATCTCTCCTAGTTAGGCAGAAGCTGCATCATCTTTTATGATCTAGCCTTGGAAATCTCATAGAATCACTTCCCCTCTAGTGAAACTCCTGCCCAGATTTGAAAGGAGAGAACAGAGACCTACCTGTCTCTGGGAGAAATGTCATGACCACATTATAAGCATGTAGGATGGCAGATGTGGTCATCTTGGAAAATACAATTCACTGCACATTACATTGAACATCAGGGCAACTGTCAGTCCTTTACAATTTGCTAATCTAAATAGCATCATGTTAACCTAAATAGCAGCCTGCCTGCTTTAGCTTAGTCTATAGCAGTAGTTCTCAAAGACTGGACCATAGGCAAGTTCTGATTCATGACAAAATTTCCATCGTACGTGGCAAAATGAGAATAAATATAACATATAGGTCTATAATAAAATTCAATTTATTCAATTTAAAGAGTAGAGGCTTACACTGAAATCACATATTTCCTTCTTTTCTGATGTTAAAATGTTTTTTCTAATAAATGATAGTAATAGTAAGTAGTAGTTTTATTAATGATGTTATATCAATCCCCTCCCTTTATTATTATTATTTTTTTACATTTTTTCTGGTCAATGAAATATAAAAGTCTAAAGAACTACTGTCTAAATGTCATTGCAACATTGAATTTAGCCTTTGATTAACTATTTCTCAAATAACATGGAGGATTTCTTGATTTACTAGTATGTACTTTGAAATAATAATTACTCTCTGGATGTTCAGAAAAAGCCATGCAGCTACCTTTGTAACAATTCATACTTGAAGCATGAGAATATTTTAACTATTCTATGAATACCAGGGTACCAAAAAATGTAGACACATTTTAAAAGATGGTAGCTATGTATTACTTTTTGTGCACCATAGTCAGAAGTGTCTGAACACTTTGAGCACCTCTTATAATTGCAGAAGTCAAACGTGACTTTTATTCATCTTGTTATGACACAGTTTTTTTTCTTATAATGTATATATATTTTTGGCACCCTCTGTATATCTACAATTCAGCGCAACAATAGTAACATGAAGTTCTACATCCCTCAAAATGGACTGAAATTATAATCTATGATTGTTCAGATCCTCACATCAAAAGAATCTTTGACATGAGGAATCCGTTGGTAATCACTAGATTTACATGGCTTAAAAAATTGTGATATTTCAGATGAAAGCTTAGAAAATAGAAGGTCAGAGGAGAAACTAGACATTGTGTCATAATGTTGGGTGTGTGTGTGTGGCTTGTCTGTGTGAGGAGTAGGAGCTAAAACAGACAAAACATGAAGATAAGATTCAGGAGTCATTTCTTTGAAGGTGAACAAGCTTATAAATGAATGAAAAAGCAATACGTTTATGTCAAAGGTAGTACTAAAAGAGAATTCATTCAATTATTTACTGTCTTATGAACTCTTTAAGTATGAGGAAAATAATAAAAAGTCCCTACCATCAAACAGTTCACAATTCAGCCAGGCTCAGTGGCTCAGCCTGTAATCCCGTGCCTTTGGAAGGCTGAGGTGAGTGGATTGCCTGAGCCCGTGGGTTCAAAACCCGCCTGGGCAGCGAGACCTCATCTCTACAATAAATTTAAAAAAAAAATCAGCCCGGAGTGGTAGCACGTGCTAGTAATTCCGGCTACTCGGAAGGTTGAGGTGGAAGGATAGCCGGAGCCCAGCAGGTCAAGGCTGCGGTGGCCGGGAGTGGCCGCTGCACTCCAGTCTGGGCAACAGAGTGAGACTCCAACTCAAAAAAAAAAAAAAAACAAGACAAAAGTTCACAATTCACTTGGAGAGATAAACATATAAGCAATTAAATAGAATATAGTAGGAGGCTATTGGCACTCAGGGTTCCCTAAAGAGGAAGGATTCATTCTTCATAATATTAGGGATAGGGAAGGTCATTGGGTGGAAAATTACAGATTGTTTTGCAAGGATCAAGACTGAATTTTGAGATATTCCCACAGCTGGGGGCAAGATGAAGTGTAGGAGCTGGTGAAGAAGTTAGAAAGCACTGTTAAGGAAATAGAAGAACCACAGATAGCACAAAGGTGTTAATACAAGGAATTTTCAGAATATATTCTCAACAAATGTATAAAAGCTATGGCACATTTGAAGAAAAGGATAGAGAGATGAATAAGGAAAAGAGGTTGATTTTACATTGAGGAGTCTGCAAAACTGCCTTCATCTTATTTTAGGAATCTTTTAAGTAAGATCCAAGAATCCCTCCCTCATCAGGGACACACTCCTGGAAGGTTATATTGTAATCAAGGTCAAGACTCAGATAATGCAGAGTTAGAGTAGAAACAACAAAATTGCACCTGGCCTCTTCCTGAATTATTGCAGTTCTTAAGAACACTGGCCTTCTCACAACATAGTACATTAAGAGAATGGAGTAAACATGACTCTAAGCAGCCACTGGGTCTACCAGAGCAGGGTGAGTTGTGGCACTGTTATTTTGCTTAAACAAAAATAAAACTGAATTGATCATACATCAAAAAGTCCTCAAAACTTAAAATTTTGGGAGATAATTAAAACAAGGTTATCTCAAAACCATGGCTGAGGAAGTGTCAACTAAAAAGGTCTTACTGAATTGTTTGTTTCTTTTCCTTCCCCTCATAATGACAAACTAACTTTCAGGATAGGACAAAGAAGGGAAAGTTATAAAAACAAGGAATAAATGCTTTAAAAAAAAAAACAATTTCTTTTTAATGAAATGCTTCCATAAAGTCACAAAGTAATATTAACAGAAGGTTCAAGAGCTTGATTAAATAAACTAGAAAAAAGGACTTTCCACCCCCCAATATGAAACCAAATGTGATATTGAGAAGTTAGGAAATATAAAGCAGAACAGGAGGGAAATATCATGGAGTTCAGCTATAGTATCTATGTGGCCAAATCTACAAAGCAGGAGAAATCTTCTAGATATAAAACTACATTTATGTTCATTAATTTAAAGGTAGAAAGAAGTTAAAGATAAATAGGGAGTTTACTCAGAGATATATCCCTCTTTACAGGTGAATTTTGGTTTGCACATAAAAAGTAATAGTGGTAACCAGAGACCCTGATCCAAGCAATTCTTAATATCTCCTTGCTCCAGAATGTCATTCTATAAGATTTCCTTTTTAGAGAGAACAAATTTTTCCACTGGAAATAGCCAAATATGTCTTTATTTATGGAATGCCTGAATTACACAGAAAATTATTAGATTTTCTAAATAGTTATTATAGCCTCCATTTAGTGAGAGACTTACTGGTAAGTGCTCTCCCAAGGAGAGCATAAAACTCATAGAGCTGAACTTGGAGGTACAGAGGATGACAGACAAACTGGACAACAGCACACTGAGCAGGAAAACAAAACAAGGTGACATAATGTTGTACTTAGGTACTTTTAAAAGTTACACATATATTTCCTTGATTTCAGTTGACATGAATAGGTTTGTATTTCAGATACTAGAAGAAAATGCAGTCTTTTACAAAATATTTGTTCAGTAGAAGGTATAATCTTGTCTTTTCTTCTGAACATGGCTTAGTTTATAGATTTGTCATTTTTTACTTGACCTGAAACAGATTTTAAAATTACACTTAATTAGCTTGCAATGTGAAACAAAATGAAACTAGCTTTTAAAACAACAGACATGGAATAAGTCAGAATGTTTCAGCCTGCACCAGCCATTAATTAAACACTAATGTTGCTAATATGTCAATTCAAATATTCTCTCCTCCTTTTTTTCATATTTAAAGCTGTGAGGTCACATTTTCCATATAATCAGTACTATTGTTTCTAGTTTTGCCATCAACTAGAGTATCGTTGAATAAACAGCTGAAACTCTCGCTTCACTTTTTTCATTGAACAATGATGGGTCATATCAGAGTTTCCATCCAGACCCAACGTTGTGTGCGATGAAGATGCTTAGAGGGGATGTAATAGAGGGGACATGGGGAGAGAAAAGGAGGGACAGATGGAGCACTGTTAGTCCAAAAAAATCGTAGTAGTGCATCAGGTGGAAATAACGGTAAAAGCAAGAATTCAAGTTTAGTCTGGGTTCAGCGGTGCCTGTAGTCCAGTTACTTTGTAGGCTAAGCCAGGAGGACTGTTCGAGCCCAGGAGTTCAAGGTCAGTCTGAGCAACATAGTGATAACCCATCTTTTAGAAAAATATTTTAAAAATAAGCAAAACACATAATCTTAAAAAGCAAAAAAAATTCAATTCTCAATCGCCTTACCCCTAGATTATACTGTTGTCACTTTCTCTAGTTTTATCTCCCTCCAATCCATTTTACAAAGAAAGCCAAGTAATTCTCTCCTACTCTAAAGTCTTCTAATGGTCTCCCACTGCCCAGAAGATAAAGCCCAACTGTCTAAGCTTACAATTCAGTAGTTTTCATGAAATGATAACACATTAAATTTTCAACTGTGTTTTCTACTGTGCCTTAAACAAACTCAACTACAGTCAGCTAGATGAGTACTGGCTACTTCCTGATTGCTACATTTGGACCTTTCTTCATCATATTGTACTTTGCTAAGAATTTCCTTTTACTTTGGCTACCCATAATTTCAGGCAATTCCTCTGTCTTTGTGATGCTTTCTCTTTATATTTAGGCTTCTCTGAGACTATACAGCAATCAGTTCATCTTTTGAGGTATATATGCTTTACTCACAAACTAGGTGGTAGGCTCCTTAAAGACAGGTACAGTCTAAAGCCTCTGTACCTAGGAGAGTGCTATGTTTATGCACCATAGATATCAGTCACAAATGGCAAGGGATATTGTGTTACACTACCTAACTAGGTTAAGTATCTGAAGGTTTTAAAACCCACAACCTCTTTTGATAAACACTAGATAGCCACAAAATAGTCACAAGCAATAGACTACAACTGGACCTATATCTAATTCAATATATAAAAAATAACTCAAAATGGATCACAGAACTAAATGTTAGAGCTAAATCTAAAAAATTCTTAGAAGAAAACATACAATTAAATCTTGGTGACCTTGGATTAGGCAATGATTTCTTAGATATGGCATGGAAATCACAAGCAACAAAGGAGAAATAGACAAATTGAACTCAATCAAGAAAAAGTCTTTTGTGTTTCAAAAGATGTAATTAAGAAAATGAAAAAACAATCTATAGAATGTGAGTAAATATCAGATGCATATTTTTGATAAGGGACTAGGATCGAGAACACATAAAGTCATATAACTAAACAATAAAAGGAAGCAACTTAAAAATGAGCAAATAGGTATTTCTCCAAAAAATGCACAAATGGACAGTAAGCACACAAAAAGATGCTTAACATTATTAGTAATTAGATAAATCCAAATCAGAATACATTAAGATACCACATCACACTCATTAGGATGGCTAAAGATTTTTTTACAAGACAGGAAAAAACATGAACATGAATATGGAGAAATTGGGAATTCTTATATACTGTTGGTGGGAATATAAAATATAAAACAGTTTGGAAGTTCTTCAATGGTTAGACATACAATTACCATATAACCTAGCAATATACCAAATAAAAATGAAAACATGTGGCCACTCAAAAAATTTGTACACAACAGTTCATTTCATCTCTATTTATAATAGCCCAAAAGAGTAGAAACCCAAATGTCCATCGACTAATGAATAGATTAAGTTTGTATCCATACAATGGAATATTATTCCACCCTAAAATGAAACAAAATGCTGGTACATGTTACAACATGGATGAACACTGAAAAGTGAGCCTTGCTAAGTGACAGAAGTCAGACACAAAAGACATCATATATTCTATGATTTTATTTATGAAATGTTCAGTGCAGGCAAACCCACAGAAAAAGAAAGCAGATTTGTGGTTGCCAGGACTCGGGAAAGGGAGGAATGGGAAGTGACTGCTAACAGGTACAATGTCTCTTTTTGGGGTGGCAAAATGTTCTAAAATTAGTTAACAGTGATGATAACACAACTTTGTGAATATGAAAGGGGAATCTAAAAAGCCCAGTATTTATTTATTAAAAAGTTTTTATTTATTCTTACATGTTTAAACTTCAGTCATCTTCGGTACTCTCTGATGGAATATGCCTACCAAGACACTTTTTCACTGCTCCAGTTTTTGAACTCATCAATTTTGATGCCTTTTAGAATTTCTGCAGTTTTTCTTTCACCTCTTCCACATCACAGCCTCTCACAACAACACTAGTTGGTGCACTGATGCCAGTGGATTCCTAGAACACTTGCCTAGTAGGGGAAACCTGTCCTACAAGAAGTCTGCTCTCCAAAAAATAATTCCTGTTTTTTGGGGGTCCCCCTCATATACTGCAAACCACTGAATTGTACCTTTTAAAATGGTGACTTTTATAGTTAATGATCGTGAAAGTGAGGTACTTTTGTGCAATTGCCCATAATCCATCCCTGTAATACACTTTTCATATGTCAAATTTTCATTTTTTCTTCTTCTTAAAAATTTATTTATTTTAAAAATTTGGGGTACAACTTAGGATTAGGTATACAGGTGGTCATCACACAGGTAGGGTTTGGACCTCCCTTTTGTCCCCACTTTTCCTGTTTTGAGGTCAGGGACCCTTTTTAATGTGAAAAACTATTTTCACAGTCTAGGCATACCTTTGAGATATTGTAAGCTCAATTCCAGACCGCCACAATAAAGCCAATATCACAATAAAAAAATAAATAAGATAAAATAAAATGGTGAATTTCATGTCATGAAAATTGTATCTCAATAAAGCTGTTACTTTTAAAAATTCTTACATATGCCCACTACCAAAATTCTGGTATGTGTACTTTCCTTGCTCTCAGGATGGCATTCCCACAGGAGGCTTTTCTCCAAAGATAAAATTATAATATTGAAAATGCTTTTTAAATTTCCACTACTTTATCTCCCAGGACATGCCTTTCTAGATAAGAATCCTTGGTCAAAATCAAAGTCAAAGGCACAGTAATTACATAAAATGTAACGACTGATGATGGTGGTATTAAGATTAGTATTAGACATTCCCTACAGAGACAATTCAGTTATTAAAAGTTATAACTAATACTGAAACTAATAATTAACTTATTGTAGGGACAAGGGCTGATCAAGTTGCCCAGGCTGGTCTCAAACCCCTGGTCTCAGGCAATCCTCTCTCCTCAGCCTCCCAAAGTGCTGGGATTACATGCTTGAGCCACCATCCCTGACTGAAACCAAAAATTAAACTAGGGAGCTGTGTTATGAATTAGTGCTTGTAACAAAGTTAATGACTAATGAATATTGTTAAAATCAGAGTATCTCAGAAATAACAACATTTAACTTAATTTCCATCTTTTCAGACATTCAAATCATTTTGTCCAAAACTTACGTGGTGTAGCCATTTTTGTGAGGATAGGAGTCACAATATATTCTGATTGCTGGCTCTGTTCAAAGAGCTAATTAATGGAAGCATCTGAATGAATTTCCAGCCATTCGTTTTTTGTGTGACACACATTGAGGATGGCGTTATAGGAACAGAAGTAGAGAATACTTTCTATGTATTTACTAAAAAATAAAACTATACAATATCTATAAATTGGCACTAACAACAGAACTTTCTGTGGTAATAAAAATAGTCTATACCTTCATTGCCTAATACAGTAGCCATTAGAAATATATAGCCATTGACTATAAGATATATGGTTGCTAATGTTACTGAGAAACTGAGTTTTCAATTTTGTTTATTTATTTATTTATTTGAGTTGGAGTCTCACTTCATTGCCCAGACTGCAATGCATTTATATGCCCATGACCACCCCAGTGTCAACCTGCTGGGCTCAAGCAATCCTTCCGCTTCAGCCTTTCAAGTAACCGAAACTACAGGGGAACTCTATCATGGCTCACTAATTTTTTAAAAAATTATTATTGTAGTACTGCCAAGTTGCCCAGACTGTTCTCAAACCATTGGACTTAGGCAATCCTTTCACCTCAGCCTCCCAAAATGTTGGAATTACAGGCTTGAGCCACCACTCCTGGCCCTAATTTTAAATAATTCAAATTTGAATATCCACATGTAGCTAGTGGTTACCATATCAGGCAGTGCAGCTCTAACATAAGTGGAATGTGAATATAAGAAAACTCACCATCAAGAGTCATGAAGGGAAACTGCCAAGGGTGGGGGCATACCTAATCAACAAGGGTACATGCATAATGAATATTTGTATACCTAACCTTGAATTGTACCCCACATATTTAAAATAGTTTTAAAAATAAAATAAAAAGAGTCATGAAGACTTGCACCTGTCTATATTTTCTACCTAATTCTTTATTTTCATCAAGCCCTGTAGCAAAAAGAAGTGTTTGCAAAGGTTGTAACAGAATAGCTGGGTGGTACAAGCTGCACACAATTCAAGAGACAATGCTGACAATTTATTCCCTCTAAATGATTCACAGGAAGAGGAAGAAAAGTCCACCTGACTGAAAACCTCTTAGTTTGCATCATATAACCATCTTATTGCACACATGCACCAAATGTCTGATGTCTAATTTAAGATATTTGTTTTACCATGGTTCATTACAATAAAGAGAAATAAATAAATGTATGGTGCGTCTTGTCCTTACTATGAAATAATAAGCAGCAGTATATGCAGAAGTATGCAGAAGAAAGTGGACTTGGAAAGGTGTTTATAATATATTATTAAGAGGGGAAGAGGGGGAAAAGTAAACTAAAAAGTAATATATAGTATGATCACTTTTTTATAAAAACAAAATCATAAAATTTCTATTCTATTTCTGCATACATATGCTTACAAAAGTGAAGGAAAAAATATGATAAAATTAACTAAAAATTGTTATCAGAACCACAGGGTAATAAGACTGCAGACAAAAAAGGGAAAACCATTAAGTTTGCTTTGGACATTTTCATTTTTTTCTAATTATTATGTGTACATAATATTTTCTAGTTCAAATAACCAAATTTTTAAACATTGAAACAGAAAGACTTTTCTAGTAACTAGTTTGACAATGTGCTACTTCTTTGCACCAGGAAAATTTTGTTTTTCAGATCTCATAGCTCTGATAGCTATTCTAATAAAATTTGCCCGTAATTTATTTTCCACAAGATCTGAAGTGTCTTACAAGACACATGTGTAATGTGTCGCTTATCAAGTTCATGGACTTGGTAATGTCTTGACCTTTCAGCAATACCTAATTCTTCTTCATATGAACTGTAAGTCACAGGAAATGTACAGAGTATCCTGCACACACAAAAAAGGCATGAAATAATTTAAAATCAAATTACATTTCTGATTCCTTGAGCATTTGAAAAGAAAATTTTTTTTGTAGAGATGAGATCTCACTGTGCTGCCCAGGTTTGTCTTGAAATCATGAGCTTTTTGTGTGTGTGTGTGTGTGTGTGTCAGAATCTCTGTTGTCCAGTCTGAGAGCAATGGCACACTCATGGCCACCACAGTCTCGACCTGCTAGGCCCAGGCAATCCTTCCACCTCAGCCTTCCAAGTAGTTGGGACTACAGGCATGTGCCACCCCACCTGGCTAATTTTTTGATTTATTGTAGAGATGAGGTCTCACTAAGTTGCCCAGGCTGGTCTCGAACCCGTGGGCTCAGGCAATCCTTTCATCTTGGCCTCCCAAAATAGTGGGATTATAGGTGTGAGAACTGCACCCGGCCTTAAGCATATTTTTAATGTCCATACAAAGCAAAGCATAGTAGCACTAGTCTACAGGCATACTTAGATATAGGACTCAGATATATGGCAAGCTGGTTTTATAACCAGCTATCTTTATATCTGTGTATCTTTTTTCTGATTCTGGAAAATTTGATACAATAAAAAATATGTAATTATTTGTACATATACAGGGAGGGGGATCTTCAAAACACAGAATTGGTTTTAGGAGGGCAGGTCTTTGTAGTACAGGCTTCCCCCACTAGGTAAGTGTTCTAGGAATCCATCAGTATCAGCATACCAGCTTGCACTGTTTTAAGAGGCTGCATTTGACTTCAGTGATTTTTGTTGTTGTTTTTGGAGTTTCGTGTACTGCATTTGTCCATTTTATGATGGGTGATTTATGAGCATACCTGCCCACACACAGCAATTTTTGACCAAAAATGGCATGATTCCCATACTCCACTCTCTCTATTCACCTGATCTTGCCCTGAGCAAGTTTTTTTTTTTGTTTCCCTGGATGAAAAAAGTTCTCAAATTGAAATATTTTGCTGATGTGGAAGAGGTGAAACAAAAAATGGCAGAAGCACTAAAAGGCATCAAAATTGATAAGGCGAAATAGCATCTCAATAGGTGTATTGCATCAACTGGGAGAGTACTTTGAAGGTGACTAAAGGTTAAGCATGAAATAATAAATATACAATTTTTATAAATAAACTCTGGGTTTTTGAGTACACTCAATAGATAAAATAAAAATATATGCTAAACTTTGAAGGAAAGCAATGAAATGGATACAGCAGAACCCACTATGCAACAGAGCCAGAACACAACCAATACTATTAATCCAGCTTGTGTGTCCTTCTTCATCTCATCTCCTGCCTGTCTCAAGAGAAAATTACAATCTGTACTTATCTTCCCGAGCCTTTGGGAGGTTGAGGTGAGTGGATTGCCTGAACCCGTGGGTTTGAGACCCGCTTGGGCAGCGAGACCTCATCTGTACAATAAATCAAAAAATCAGCTGGGTGTGGTAGCACATGCCTGTAATTATGGCTACTCGGAAGGCTGAGGTGGAAGGATCGCCAGAACCCAGCAGGTGAGGCTGCGGTGGCTGACAGAGGCCACTGCACTCCAGTCTAGGCAACCAAGTGAGACTCCAACTCAAAACAAAACAAAACAAAACAATCTGTACTTATCCCTCTTCTTTGCTTTTTAAATATTTTTACCCACATATTTAGGCATCCCCCCCAAAATAGTTTGATTTTGCTTGTTTTTGAGCTTTACAAAAATCTTTGCAGTCTTTGGTGTTTGTTTTTCACTGAGTACTACATTTCTAAGATTCATCCATGCTGCTGAATATGATACTTAGTACATTTCTATGTCACTTTATAAAACTATTTCATTTAATTTTTTGATCAGTCTATCCTCTATCAGTAGTTTATGAAGAAAGGAAGGAAGCAGGGGAGAAATAAATGGAGGAAGAAGGAAAGAAAGAAAGGAGGAGGAAAGAAGGAACAGTAAGGATTATCATTTACTTCTAGAACAACAGTATAGAAATTAAAATGTAAGAAAAATTTTCAAAAGACTTCAGAAAAAGCAGTAATCACAATACAGTACCTTGTCTTCCTTAAGAAGCTTCCCTGATCCCTTTTCTGTATCAGTAATGGCTAAAGAAACCTTGGCAATATATTTTTTCAGAGACAACTTTGCATCTGAAAGAATGGACAGTAAAACAAAAAATAATAAGACAAAGACCAAAAAATATACTCACCTATTTATAATGTAGTCTAACATATTCGTTGCTTTATCAATATGGTGTGTGGGGGATTTATTATGGTTGCTTTCATTGAATTTCAGAAAGATAACACTCAACCAGCACAGCACTTGAGGTACTCAATAAATTACAATCTGTAATTATCCCTCTTCTTTGCTTTTTAAATATTTTTACCCACATATGCTCTAGAAACTAAAGCCTTTGAAGAACAAATGAAATATAAAATACGACCACTGATTCCAAAGAGGCCATATTCTATTAAAAGAAAGTAACAACAAAAAGCATTTATTTTCGGTCTTTCAAATAAATTCCAAAACCAGATGTTCTAACTAAAAAACAACAACAACGTTGTTGAAAATAATCCCATTTACTATAGGTCCCACAGTAATGTTTATCACAAAAATTTGAAAATCTATTTAAATAAAATTATAACACCTTGCTGAGAGAAATGAAATACTCAAATAAATGGAAGGACTTACCATATTTCTAGATGGGACAACTAAACATTGTAAACTGTAAATTAATCCCAAATGAAGTTAAAGTTTGATGTCTTGGTTTCCTTTAGGTGCTATATCACATTGCCACAAATTTTCTTGCTTAAAACAATACATAAGTATCCTCTTATATATGTATCCCAGAGGTCAGAAGTCTGAAACTGGTTTCACTGAACTCAAGTCAAGGTATCAGCAGGCTGATTTCTCCTGGAGGATCTGAGGTGAGAATCTGTTTCTTATACTTTTTCAATTTTTAGCGGATTCAGTTTCTAGTATTACTTGGCTTGTGGCCCCCTTCCTCTCTTTTCAAATACATTACTCCAGTCTCTGTGTCCATCATCAAATCACCTTCTCCTCTTCTGTGTCAAATATACCTCTTCCTTCCACCTACAAGGACACTGTGATTATGTTTCGATCCCACTGGGATAATCTCCCAAGTCATGTAAGTATCTGCAAAGTTCCTTCTCTCATGAAATAGCATTCATGGGTTCCAGGGATTCGGATCTGAGTATCTTTGATAGCCATTATTCAGCTCATCACAATCAGCTCTCTGCTTCACCCCCTAGAATTCACATCTAACTCATGTGCAAAATATATCAGCTCCATTCTAAATTCCCTAAAAGTCTGGACCCATTACAATATCAATTCATGTTCAAATTCCCACCTAATATCAACTCAAAAGTCTCAAATCTTATAATCTAAATCAGCTAAACAAGGTATGAGTGAGACTCTGCATATGATCCATCATGCAGGAAAATTCTCCTCTATCTATGGACTTCTGAAACCAGAAATCAAGTTATCTTCATCCAAAATACAAGAGTAGGACAGGCATGGGATAATAGTTAAAGGCACTGTCATACAAAAAGGAGGAATATGGAAGGAAGAGAGGAGTTGCCAGTTCCAAGCAATTTTGAAATCCAGTATGACAAATTCCACTAAGGTTTCAAGGCCTGGAAATAACCGTCTGTGGCACAAGACTCTGGTCCTGAGGTCTTACCGCTGGGTCCGAGGTTCCATCTCTGAATCATTCTTCCCTTTTCATGAAAGATATAATGTGTTTGTAGCTAATTTATTTTACTAGTTTGTTGTTCATTTTGACCTCTCTCTGGCCCTTTGTCCACACTGGTGTTTTTACTGGCATAACATTCTCAGAAGCCTTGTGAATGTCCCTGCATGTCACAGAGATGCACTCCATTAGATGAAAGACTCCTTCATAGGTCCCCTGTGAATACTCTCATTCCCATTCCTGACTTCTGCTGAGATGGCTCAGGAGATCCATGAATCTGATCTAATCTAACCTAATCTTTTCACCAAGAACAAAAGGCTCCAGTACCACATCCTTGACTTTCTCTCCAGAGCTTACTTTCTTGACAGTGAATATCTTAACGTTAGCACCTTTTACAGTCTGGAGAGGCTGAGAATTTCCCAAATCATCAAGTACTGTCCTTTTTGCTCAACAGTTCTTCCCTCTATTCATCTCTCTCCTCTCACATTTCACTATAAGCAGCAAAAAGAAACCAGGTCTTGCTTCCAATGCTTTGCTTGGAAATCTCTTTAGCTAAGGTGTTCAGCCTTCCACATAATGGCAGGACACAGTTCAGCTGAACTGTCTCTGTGCCTTATTTTCAGCTTCTTATAATATGCTCCTCCTCCTTTCTGAGTCACCAGTAGTAGAGCACATTAACACTCCCATCAGTATTCTGTTTAAAGTAACTTCCATATTCTTTAGCACAACAGAGGCTTTCTCAGTTGTGCTCCTTATTTCCTGCTGAGCCCTCAACTGCGGTGCATTAATGTCCATAATTCTACCAACAGACTCTTGAAAACAATCTAAATCTGTCAGGCAATGTAAAACTTCTTCCAGCCTCAATGACCCAATTTCCCTGCCACTTCCACATTTCTAGATGTTTGTTACAGCAGCACCCCACTTCCAGGTACCAAAATCGGTGTTAGTTCCTATGTTTGTTGTAACAAATCATCACAAAATTGGAGGCTTAAAACAACAATAATTTATTGTTTTATGTTCTGGAGGCCAGAAATCCTAAATCAGTTTCACTGAACAAAAGTCAAGGTGTTGCCAAGGTTCCTTCCTTCTGGACGTTCTGAGGGAAGAATCTGTTCCTTACCTTTTTCAGCTTCTAGTGTTCCTTGTCTTATGGCCCCATCTTTATAATTTCAAAGCACATCATCCCAGTCTCTGCTTGCATCATCACATCACCTTCTCCATCCCTGTATCAAGTATCATTCTACTTCCCTTTTACATTTAGGTCCCATTTGGATAAGAAATGATAATCTTGCCATCTGAAAATCATATCTGTAAAGTCCCTTTCACCATATAACATCCAACATTTCCAGCGATTTTTACCCTGATATCTTTGGAGCTGCTATCTGGCCTACTATAGTTGGTATACACAATATCATGAAACTCCAAATAGGAATATTTGTGAGACTTGATGAAATCACTCTAAAGCTCAGTTGTGTCATCTATAGCATTTAGTAATCTCTTTTATTTTATTTTATTTTTTTGAGTTGGAGTCTCACTCTGTCGCCCAGACTGGGAGTGCAGTGGCCGCTCCCGGTCACCACAGCCTCGACCTGCTGGGCTCCGGCGATCCGTTCACCTCAGCCTTCCAAGTAGCCAGAATTACAGGCATGCGCTACCACAGCCGGCTGATTTTTTGATTTATTGTAGAGATGAGGTCTCTCTGTCCAGGCAGGTCTCTAACCCGCGGGCTCAGGTGGGTTCACCTCAGCCTCCCAAAGGCATGGGATTACAGGCTGAGCCACTGAGCCTGGCTAAAGTAATATCTTTAAGCCTCATTGCCTATCTGAAAAGTAGACGTAATTCAAGCACCTTCCACAGTCCAATGCAGACCCTGGAATGGTATACATGATTGGACCAGCTAACTGATCTTCTTGTCTCCAACTCTTCACAGCTTTACATCTATTAGTCATGTTGCAAGCAGAAATAAATCCTAAAATGGAATCCAAGATTTAGGTTTTGGTTCCACTAGTTGGGAGAACTGGAGTCACTGGTGGTTCCAGAATTTCAATGCGTATTTAGTGAAGAAATTAGATGAAAAGGGAGACTAAAAAATTTGTCATGAAATGACACCTACATAACAAGCTCACTGTTTTTGCTGACAGCACATATTTATTTGGGCTGATTTAGTGGAGAAAGGAGTTTATTGCAAGAATTCCCTTAATGCCACCATACCTTCAACACTCTAACCTTGGTTTCATCATCTATAAAACTGAAGTGTTGTTTCCAGGTTCTTGCTATTGTGAACAATGCTGCAGTAAACATACGTGTGCAGGTATTTTTTTTTTATAGAGTGATTTGTGTTCTTCAGGGTATATTCCCAGTAGGGGGATTGCAGGGTCATATGGAAGGTCAATTTTTAGAGCTTTTAGGAATCGCCACACTGCTTTCCACAGAGGTTGCACTAGTTTACACTCCCACCAACAGTGTAGAAGTGTTCCCTTTTCACCACACCCTCTCCAGCAGAGGACTGGATTAAAAAAATGTGGTACATATACACGATGGAATACTACGCAGCCATAAAAAAGAACAAAATCATGAATTTCGCTGCAACCTGGATGGAACTAGAGTCTATAATACTGAGTGACCTCTCACAAAAACAAAAATCCGAATATCACATGTTCTCACTCATATAATGGACCTTGAACATCCAATGCAATACTATGAGAAAATGACGGATGGTACTGGGAAACTATGGGGGGGAGGGGGATGGGATTAACAGTAGCAAATATCTGTCGGGGGATGGGAAAACACTTTTTATTTACAGGGTGCCTGAATGAAACGTCATTGTACACCTAACCCTTAACTGTACCCCACAAAACCATAATAAAAAATACTGATTAATGAAAAAAAAAAAAAAAACTGAAGTGTTATAATGCATCCTCATAGAGATGTTGTGAGGATTATAGTATATAGTATACACTGTATACTATAGTATGCAGTATAACCCACAACATAATAGAATATAATATACAGCATATTGTATATATAGTATAATGCATGCAAATATCTTGGCATAGTGCCTGCAATATAATAAAGCACTCAATAAACTCTTCTTCTCAAACCTCTTTGACTCCCTATTACCTAAAATACAGGACCTGCCAAGACATGCCTAGCCACAAGCAATCTTTCCAGTGTCATCACCTCCAACATTCATTCAGAGAGTCTGTCTATTATCAACTTCCTGCTCCCTAGGCCCCAGATATCAATATGGCTCCCTCCTTCGCTTCCTTCGGTACTCTGCTCAAGCATCACCTTATCAAAAAGCCTTTCCTAACATCCCAATATAAAACTCTCTCTCTCTCTCTCTCTCTCTCTCTCTCACACACACACACACACACACACACAGGCAACTTCCTACACCCCCTTACCATTCTATTTTCTCCACAGCACTTCACAGAT